GAGGAGGGGGAGTTGTGTTCAGTGAAGGATAGAGGCGAGGTCCAGTAACGTTGCGTAAAGACAAAAGTGGACAAAGAGAGGCAAACCTGCGGCTCCACAAGTATAATTATAACGTAACATAGATATAAAGATATAAAGGATATTGTCACAGCTCATATCTCGCATAAAAATATATCGATATTTTTAAAAAACACAGCCCTGCTTGCCCCAAGACGCCTCCTGCTGGTCATTGGCAGAAGGTTTGCCTGCGTGTGCGTCCTCAACTCTGCTGCTCCACCCACAAATTCATCCTCCTCACTAGTGAGGCGCCGTGTCAGAGGACGTAAGTCAGCTTTTCAATAGTCTAAGATTTGTTACTGAGAAGCACCGTTGCACAAATAATCAGCCAAAGGCAGGTTTTCTTACCTTTTGTCCTGAGTATAGCAACTATTGTGGCTATTTCCTTTTTTTTTGGATGCTATATTTCTTATTTCTTTTTCTAATATTTTCTCTAACAAACAGAAAGCAGCCTTTCAAACGGAACAAGTTTACTGCACACAGCTGTAGTCCCTCGGGCATCGCCTGCCCCTGAGACATCAGAACAGGAAGAAGTTGTCAACACGAAAATTTAATTTAATTTAATAACAATCTCATAATGATGATAATACTGATTTAAAGCATTAACCCGACACTGTCAGAGCACTTTGTGTGCTTTTATTCCTGCATGCTAAGATCAGTGGAACTGATGTAACGCGCATCTGATTGGTTATTGTTACGTGTGGTCTGAACAGGATGTTGTGATCAGCATTTAGTGCTGCTGAGTCTCAGTCTGCTTGCCGGCGTTATTAGAGGCGCTGAAGAGCTCGTGATTAGACGTGTTGGAACGTCTTTTCAAAAAAGTAAGATGGTTTTTATCTCTTTACTAAAAATCATCATTTCAGGAGATGTTGTTGGTAGACTTGTACTAATTTTGTGTGTGTGTGTGTGTGTGTGTGTGTGTGTGTGTGTGTGTGTGTGTGTGTGTGTTAGACCTAATGATTTATCGATAGAGCTGTGCGATATGACCAAAATCTCATATCCCGATATAAGAATTCTATCGTCCGATAACGATATAAATCACACAAATGTAACATTTTCTGTAAACTCTGTGAATCTCTGGCAGCTCGACTTGTGTGAAGTGTTTCCAGCTGTGCGTCGTGTAGCTGGAGTCGAGTTTTAACGATGCATGAAACGATACATTTTTAGATATAAGTTGTAACAGCGCCGTTTTCTTTGTGAGTATTTATTACACGGCGTGCTGCGGGGAAAACCTGTTCTAACGTTTGAGTCTAAGGTTTATTTTTTAGCACCTGGTGGCTCTTTTTTACTTCTCATCTGTAAATAATCTGCATCTTTCACATGATTCAGTTTATTTTGAAAAGTCTCAACAGGATCTTGAGCTTTATTGTGAAAGGTTTATGTGGAAAATAAACAAGCGGACACGCGATGGTTTTACCGTCCTTGTTGCTAACGACAACGCATACAAACAGGCGCTTGTCCGTCCGTAGTGTGGTTATATTAAATATACGAGAAAGAGAGAACTTTAAGAAACTAATATAGCCACGACAGTGACCATCAAAATAGTGAAAAAATGTTGCCGTAAAGAGTTTATTTTGCGACACCACGAAACAAACGATAGCGTAAAATGAAACGATGTTTTTATATCGTCATCTGATATATATCGTTATATCGAACAGCCCCATTTATCGATTTATTTATTAATGATCAAAAAACAACTACACTACACACTAACTACACACAGCAAACACCTTCAGTGTTGCTCACATCTCTAAACTCGCTCTCGCTGTCTTGACCACAGCTTTCTCCTCTTCCTGAGAAACAAACTGTGACGTGTCGCCGTGTAGTTTGTTTGATTGGTTGAAACGGTGCAGGCGGCCTGCTCTGCTGTAAACGAATGACGTATCAGTGGCGGGACTATGACGCAGGATTTGGGATTATTCACTAACTCTGGAATTAATCCTGGATTTTCTGTGCTGCCTGTCGGGTTTATTTTATTAGAGGAGACGCCATAAACTCAAAGTACAAATGTCTTTCAGATTTATTATTCAGTTAAGTGTTCGATAGGGCTGCCACAATTAGTCGACTAGTCACGATTAGTCGACTATCAAAATCGTCGACGACTGATTTAATAGTCGTTTGAAGCTTTGTAAGATCCCAAAAGACGCAGGAATAAGTAGCAGGATTTAAGAGTGTAATAACGGACTGAAACAGAAGATGGCAGCACTGCATGTACAAGGATGCCAGCTGCCGTTAAACCCCGAAGAAGAAGAAGCTGTGTCCCAGAATTCATAGCGCGGCCCAGCTCAGTTTCCAACAATGGCGGCAGCTGGTTAGTTTTAATGTTACTCTTATTATTCTTTCCGGGTCACAAAATAAACGTTTAACATATTTTCAGGCGAGATGCTGCTGGTGCAATCCCATATGGAAAAGATATTTATAAATCTTATAAAGTTTGTATCTGTCTTGTGTGAAACTTGTATGAAAAGCATATAAGAGTGAAAACAGATATAAGATCCCTTGAAAAATTATATAATGAAACTTGTATGTTTTGGATACTTACTAAAACAACATATGAAAGTAATGAGAAAGTGGCCACTTTCATGAGTAAATCATAGAAGTTTTTACTATTTCTTTTCCATATGGGATAAGCTGTATGTCCAATGGATGATGATCTGATTAGTCGACTAATCGCAAAAATAATCGGTGACTAGTTGACTATCCAAATAATCGTTTGTGGCAGCCCTACTTACAACAACAAGTGTACCCTCAGGAAGATTGCAACAGCAGTCACTGGTGATGTTTAGCAACAGTTTGGCAGCATGGATGAGACGGTCATGTTGATAAAATATTCAAAACCAGAGATATGAATGATTGAGCTCAACAGAAATATGGAAAACTCAGACCTACTAAAAAGGCTGATTAACAGAAGGACTTTCATTCCCTGCAGCAAAGCTCATCTGTAATGAAATACACAAATTATCATTTATCATATCATATATCATTTATTAGTCAACTATAAGTTAAACATTGCTGGTATGGTTCAGTGACTGAATCACTTCTGTTGCAACAAATCAACAGAAACAAAGACAGGGCTAAAATGTCACAGTTGCAGGAACCTGAACGAATTATTTCAAATGAAAAAACAAACTTTTTTGTTCAGTTTAGTTTTAGTTTTAGTCCTACTGACCAATCAGTTATCAGAAAAACAGCCCCTCGACTCCTGAACATCGCTCAGACATCAGAGTGTGGAGAGAGCGAGGCTCTGAAGTCGCTAAAGCTGCGCGGAGCGTCGGCGTGTTACTTCAGACAGCGTGACAGCGGTCAGAAGAGTGAAGTCTGATTATTGGCGTCATGTGACAGAATGTCTGTCTCAGACGTGCAGCGTTTACACTTCTGGACTGTCAGTGTGGTCGTTTTGCTCCACGCCTGCACAAATCAACCACATCGAGGTGAAAGATGGACACAGCTCGATGTTAGCAGACTTTAGTAAACCAGCTCCTCTCTGGTCTTACTGAGCGAAGGCCATGAAGAGGTCACACCCCAAACACGTCCTGTAAAAAAACAAAAACAACAGAGCTTGTTCGTGACTTTCAGCGTTATGAATGTTAAACTTCACCACAACCTTCGGTGTCCATCACTTCCAAAGTGTAGCATTTTGAAAGCTGATGGTTCTTCTTTGATGCATGCATCATTTGTAAGCTGCTTCCTCGTGTTTGTCTCTGTGGTGTGAGTGTGAGTGGGCACAATAGTCTCCTTTTACGAGGCTAAATCGCCGTGGTAACTGACACCGAACACATCACCTGGTCAGGAGCTGGTGATGTGCAGAGCGAAGAACCAAGAGTCAACTGGATTGCAGTGTGACTGAAGCATGCATGGAATCATTTGGTGATTTAGAAGATGTGTAAATGTTTTTATAGTCTGATCTGCTGCTGGAAACCTGATCAATCAGATTAATTTCACTTTGATCGGCGACAAGCTGAAGTGATTTCCACGTCTTCTTTTTCAGGCTGTGGCACAGTTAGAAGACTTAACTTCAGGACTTTGTTTCTTTCCACCATCCTTTTTGTATTTTTGGTATCTGGATTGTTTTGAGGACCTTCTGTGTGAACCAGCTTTTTATTAGCACCTCGTGCTTTGGTTGATTTTTATGTTCATCCAGTTTGTTTCTTCTCCCGACCTTTATTAGGTTTTTTAGCCAAATGTTTTGTTCCACATTTTTATTTGTAGCTCTGTTTTTGTGTGTTGCGTTCTTCTGTCAGTTTAAACTCGTGAGATTCTTCCCAGACGCCTTAACGCCCACTCACATTCTGGGCCATCTGACTTCAGGAAATCACATGATAGGGTGGGGCCAGGTTTCACAATGAACTTACCCGAAACTCTGGCTGATTGTGACCCACACCCGTTTTCACACCTCGGCTCATGTGGTTAGGTAGAGGATCATCAGGAAACTCCCACTGGGTTTAAATCTGGGACTCTCCACCAGTTGACCCTAGAGCTGAAGAAGCTTCTGGGATGAGAGGTGGAACATCTTCAAGCAACTTAAAGAAGTCCAGACGCTTTTCTTTCCAAGCTCCTTAGACTGCGATGACCTGGATGACTGAGAACCTTCAGACATATTTGTGAACACTAAAAATTTGTTTTATTGTCTCAGGTGACAGAAAAGCATCAGCTACAGTCAGCTGTGAAGATTAGCAGAGATTAACTGAACACATCACCTTGATATTGCTGAGTCTTAATTTCATGTGTGAAATCTCTTAAACAGCACTGACGGAGCCGTTACAGGAAGCTGAGCTCTGTGGGTTCTCATCAGCTGCTGTGATGAAAGCTGAATTCTCCCGATACTGAACATGAAATGTGCCGCACCCTCACCCCGTCTTTTATAAGCTGACCCACAACACAGAGTCCAGGTGAGACACAGCGGCTCTGATGTGTAATACAAACCTTTCATTCTGTCTTTGCAGATACCCGCGGCAGCGATGGACAGAGTCAGCCTGCTGTGGCGTCTGAGGCGGCGGGCTCGCCGCGGCGTGCTCTGCATGACCTTCTTCTGCATCTCCATGGCTCTGCTCTACGCCATCTGTGCTGAAAACAGCGTGCCCGTCACCGACGCCATCTTTGGCGTCCGGGCACGAACCCGCGCGCAGCCTCATGCACACAATGTCATCAAGGTGCGAAAAGTTTAACCACAACCGGAAACATTTCATTGAATAGTTTCTATTCAACCCACAGCAAAACTACATCAAGGAAAACAAAGTTTTAAATTCAGGTGAAAAATGAAATTTGGCAAGAAAACAAACAAACACGCACTGTGCAAAAGTCTTGAGCCACCCCTTGTTTCTAGATATTTTGCTTCCAAGCAGCCAGATGTTTTAAAATGTTGTCCCTACACATAAGAACAACTTTTATTAGCAGACTGTCACAAAAACACATCATTTGTTCTCATTTCTTTGGTTAAATATCGAAAAGTCTCAAAGGCAATACTGTGTTCGCACCGACAAGCTGATTCCCAAACTCAGTGAGTGGAGGCCAGAAGAAGACGCAGCAGACCTAAAAACAACTACAGCTGAACAGTATCTGAAAGTCATGTCCTTAGAAGACCTGACACAGAACCACAGAGAAGCATCTGGCACGTCAGTCGGCGCTCTGCTGTTCCCTGAACCAATCAGAAATAGCCTCAAGGCCAAAACCAGGGTTTAGTGGTCCAGCTTTCGTTCTCTCCATCGTCATATTTAAGGTGCTGCAGCTGCGCTCCAGCGAGAGGAAGCTACAGGCTCGATGCTTGAGCTGGTGTCAAGCACCACCTGAAAGTCTGCACCACTTCCTGAGGGGGAAGAAACGAACAGACTTGAGTTATTTTTGGTGAATCACAATAATGTTGATGCTGCTGATTCCCACAGGTGCTGCGAGGTGGAGCCAAGCCCATGTACACGGACCCTCAGAAGCTCCCGGGCGTCATCCCAGGCGACCCTCGCCGTCCGATCCCCATCCTGTCCTCGTCCAACCACAGCCACGAAGCCAGGGATTCGTCGTCGAAGCGGAAACAGCGGGAGCCCCCGGGGTTTTTCAGCCGGCTGCTGCCGCGCCCCTTCACGCGAGCGCTGGAGACCCTGTTCGGGGGCCGGCGGAAGGGCGAGCTGAGCGGCAGAGGCAGCGACGCCGAGTTCTTCGGGCCTAACGGGCTTTTGGGAGAGGTGTGGGACGACGAGATGTCCAGCAGCATGCTGGGGACCAGGATGAAGAAGGTGGTGCAGAACTACCAGGTGAGTCGTGGACCAGTGACGCAGCGTCTACAAGTTACATGCAGGCTAAGTCCAGATTTATATGGACTGACGCGCTCCTCCCTCCATGTTTCTGGTGTTTCTGTCAGGCGATGAACAAATACGGAGTCGAGCTGTCGGGCCCCGGCGGCGTCTCTGGCACGCCGAAGCTGAGCGGTCCCGAGCTTCTCTGCCAACTGAAGGACAAAGTAGAGGTCGCGACTTTGACCCCTGACCTCCAGCCCTTCTCCTTGCTGCCCTGGGCCACCCAGCTGCCTCCGCAGCAGCTGACCTCGGACCTCGGACCCTACAAGAGCTGTGCTGTGGTGTCATCGGCGGGTTCACTGCGCTACTCTGGGCTGGGCAAAGAGATCGGTGAGACATTTAACCCTTTAACCCTTTAAGACCTACCATAGAACCAAGTCCACCAGAGCTTATATTATATTTTTACCTGCTGTGGAGCCATTTTTGGGTGGCGTGCCCGCTCCGATCGGCTGTAAAGGGTTAAAGCCGGTCGGAGCGGGCACGCTCTGTTTTGCGTAACTATTTTTAAATCCCGGTAGCTCTGCAACCACGTGAGCTAGCACAGTAATTTTTTTGCATATGAAACCGGAGGAGTTGTACTTACATCTGATGCCATCAGCTTGTCCTCGGTCACAGTTTCCTTCCACATATAGCTTTGCAAAAACTGCATAAAAACATAACAAGAACATAATATTCCAGAAACACGCTTTGCCGATCCGATCAGCTGTTCATAACACTTCCTATGTCCATCAGCACGAACTATCGCATGTCCGCCATGACCTGCCCGAAACCGGAAGTGACGTCATTTTTGCGGAAATGTAGTTTTTTACCATCAGGGCCTCATGAGCCTATACTTGTGTTTTTAAAAGTTATGTTTGACTTTATGACTTTCTGTGTGGTTTCTGGGATGCTGAGGACTCATATTGCACTGCTGGAAATAGTTTATTTTGATGCATATGCTGCTTTTTTTTTGCAAATTTGCATTATAATATTTATTTTCGTTTTTCCTGCAGTGTTTAAAAATTGGTGTATTTCAAAAATAAAACTATGAAGACACTTAAAATTAATTTCCTGTGGTGGGAAACTAGTTTGTGCAACTTTTTTGTATTTACAGTTTTGAGGGATAAGCCTCTTAAATTTCTCTAACTAGAAATATATGTTAAGAAAGCAAAAACAATTTAAATTTTTTTTGTAGTTTATTTCACTTTTTTGCAATTTATGTAATTACTATGCACTTAATGCAGACATATTATTAAAATTTTGGCTATAATGGTTGTATTGATGTATATCAACTTGAAATGCTCCCAGAAATGGCTCCACAGCATGTAAAAATATAATATAAGCTCTGGCGGACTTGGTTCTATGGTAGGTCTTAAAGGGTTAAATGTGGATTTGATGCTTTTGACTCCCAAAGTCTGGGATTTAAAAAGGACACGTCCCTCACATCTGGACAGTCCAGAGGATGAGACGATATTTCTCTGTCGAGAACCTCAGAGCTGCTCTTCTCCTCCCAGCATCAGCAGTGAGCAGCACGCGAAACATAAACAGCACGGTTCAAAGTGAGGTTTGGTGTAAGTGCTGAGCCCTGCTGCTCTCACACAGGATCGTTTTCGCTGTGTGAAAGTTGCAAAGCAAAGTTGCTCTCTGCAGCACATTGTCCCTGAACCACAGATGAAGGATGTGTTTGAGCTGTTTTCTGCAGAAGTCTGGTAGCTCCAGAGTTTCTCACCCAGCATGTCTGCAAACACAGTTTGCTTGGTGCTCTGACTGAAGTGTGAGCTGCGTGCAGCGCCTGTATAACCAACTGCCGTGCTGGTGGGTGGAGGTTTGGTGGTCAGGATCATTTCTCTGTTGCTGGAGGATGATGTGCTGGCTGTTGGCATTAGCCATAAAAGGGTGGAGTGTCCCCTCTAAAGGCCCCTCGAGGCCCCAGGGCAGTCTGGGAACATCTTGCTGTTGCCTCAGAGGAGGCAGGAAGAGGAATGTCTGCTGCCCACACGGCCCGGACAAGCTGCAGGAAACGGGTGAATGGACAGACTGTCCAACTGAGACTAAGCTCCACCACTGTGGGACAGAACAAGTCAGCTGCTCTTTTCTTTTTCTGCTGTTTGTGTCCGAAAACGTGGAGGAGGCACAAAGTTAGTGTGAAAATAGGCTGAAAACACATTTAGGTGACCTCAGACTGCTTTAGATTCACCCAGTGTTCCTGCTGAAGTCAGCTCTTTATGTAATAACTGACTTTATCATCATCTTTTAAATTAAGTGTGTGTGTGTGTGTGTGTGTGTGTGTGTGTGTGTGTGTGTGTGTGTGTGTGTGTGTGTGTGTGTGTTCTTGGTTGATGAACAGAAAACGCGTCACTTCAGCGAATCACAAACTTTCACTTCTTCTTAACCGAATTAGTTTTCTCGTTTTTCAGACTCACATGAAGCTGTGCTGCGCTTCAACGCTGCGCCCACCACCGGGTACGAGAAGGACGTCGGGTCCAAAACCACCATCCGCCTCATCAACTCACAGGTGGGCACAGACACAGGTGGTGACAGCTGAGCTGAGAGGAAGTGCTTCACTGCAAACGAGACAGACGTGGTGATAATAAGACGAGAATCCAAAGATCGTCTGCGCGTTGATTGTTAATCTGCAGCCAGTTTTATACGATAATTTTCTCTGTCACACTTATTAACTTGTGTTCTTCTGATTGGTTGCCCCTCATAAGCAAAATATTTCAACAGTAGATCTGATTGAGATCCCCCTCTGTGACATCACAGAGATCCAAGAGGAGAAAAACTGTGTGAAACGAAGCGTTTAGGCTGATTTTGGCCTCATTGTTAGAAACCTGGGTGTCTAATATCAACACAACAATGTGACAGAAATAATGTTAATTGTTTTTATTTTTTAATAACTTTTCCATACAACACGTGCAGCTTTGTTATTTAAATCACTTTGTTTAGTGTGTGAGAGCGTTCGGCTCTCCGCCACAGTTTGGAGTAAAGTCGAGTTTGTAACGACGCTGCAGGCGATGGTCGCGCTGAAGAGGTCGAGTTTGCAGATGGGCTGTGGGCGTTTCAGTGCAGAGCAGCTGCCTGTGGCTGTTTTTAGATGCTTTTATGTGAGAACACCTCGCTGTGAGGATCTGCAGAATGCTTCTGAATACGGCAAAGTCAAAACTCTACTGAGTGGATTTGGATTAATCAGTAGAACCAGAGAATTTAGCTGCTCGGTTTTCACAGCTTTTCATTTTTAAAGAGTTTTAAAAGTCATGTTTTATTTATTAAAGCTTGAGAGACGCGGCTCGCTAAGCGACGTGTGTCAGTGTGCTTTTTCTCTGAATCTTTACAGGTGATGGCGTCTGATGACCACCGCTTCCTGTCCAGTTCTCTGTACAGCTCAGGTGTTCTGGTGGCCTGGGACCCCGCCCCCTTCTCTGCAGATCTCACAAAGGTGATGCGTTTGGATTTAAGCTAGAAGCTCTGTCACAACCAGCGTGCGTTTAATAACTTTTGTTAAATTGTTCAAATTAAGTGTAGAATTTTTGTCAAATAAGAGACACATTTATTCAAGTTTTCCTCCTACGGCTCCGTCGGGTGCACATATTCCTGCACACGCTTGTATTAATCAGTTTGTGGTTTCTTTGGACATTTGTGGATTTTAGACTAACATGGACGAGCACAGGTAAGCATGATGGTGTGTCTGACTGCAAGAATTCTGTTTGGAAAATGTCACGTTTGTGCAAAAACAGTGGAACATACAACATAACTTTGCTGTGCACACAGTCGATACCTGCATCTGTATTTGAGTCTAATAGGCCACGCCCCTAATAAATAAAATGTAAAGCTTTATGACGGGAAGATTCGCTCCAGGGCAAAGCCAAACATTTTAACACGAGTCTGTGGGGACTGGCTCACTGCTGGGACCTCTAGTGGACACTTGAGGGACTGCAGGTTGTGGCTCTTGCGCACTGGCTTCTTTTCAGAATCAGAATCGTCTTTATTGGCCAAGTATATGTGCCGACACATACAAGGCATTTGGTTCCGGTAGATGGAGGCTCTCAAGCACAGCAATGTAAATCACACACACACACGTGTCTATATACACACATTACACAAAGCTGTGTAAACCAACTATAAATAACCAATCTAAACTTATATACATAGAATACAGAAATGAGGTGGAATGAATACTACAGAATGTACATAAGGTGCAGTTGCAGTCTGGCAGTGGGAGCAGTGTGACAGGTCAGCTGTTTAGGAGGGAGGTGGCGAGGGGAAAGAAACTGTTCCTGTGTCGGGTGGTCCTGGTCTGCAGGCTTTTCTCAGGAGCTTAAAGGTTGACATGATGAAGTGTTCCCCTCGTGGATGCACAGAGCGTGGAGCCGGTCTGACTCTGCGCTGCAGGGAAACTGAACGAGTCGTCAGTAAATCCAGTTACCAGCAGGAACAACTGCTGGTTCTCCAGCTTCAGAAGCCGTTTCTCTGATGCATAATTCATGTGTTTATCCTGAGAGGACACGTCTACCACTACACAGGATTTCTTCTGCTCTTTGTTTTTATTCCTGGACTCCACTCGAGTAACCTGGCACGATTAAAACCCAGTGGACAAAAGACGTCATTTATCTTGTGCTGCTCCTTTATGCAGCCCAGCTGGTCTGCTCTGAATGCATCTTGTCTGTTGTCCCTTTAAATGGAGACTCTTTCGTTACTGGAAGCTGCATAAAGGACAACTCTGACATTTAGGCCTCAGTCCAGCAGTGGGACTGAAAGATTTGCACATGAAGGACACTCCAAACAGCGGGGGGGCCCTGGCCCTTCTTTTCCTCTCCGAAGCCGCCGCCCCCTACATTATCTCTGCAGCCTTTATGTGGTAGAAAAGTCATGATCCCAGTGAGATTCTCAGGGTCTGAGCTTTTAAGTTTCTGGTTTATTTGAGCTGCTGTTTTCAGTATTTTTGTGATGTTTGTATTTATGCAGTTTATCAGTTCCTCTCACGTCTTTGTTCCCCTGTTTTCAGTTATGGTTGCTCACTTTCTGTTCTAAAACATCCCTCGGTCACTAACTAGTTAACGTCCTGTTTCTGCAGCCTGCACAGAGCGTCTCCCTGATAACTCAGTCAAAGGGAAGCATCAGTAAAACAAAGACTGAAGCAGCAGGATTGGTGCTGATACTGAATGTATTTTGAGGTGTCAGTTAAAACTCATACCTGTATGCCCCTCCTCCCCCGCAGTGGTTCAACAGGACTGATTACCCCATCTTCGCCCAGTACCAGAGGTACAGGAGGCTCCACCCTCTGCAGCCCTTCTACATCCTGCATCCTCGCTTTGAGTGGCAGATCTGGCAGCGAATACAGGACAACATGGCCGAGCCCATCCAGAAGAACCCGCCCTCCTCCGGCATGCTCGGTATGGTTTTCTCTCACTTCCTGTTTATGCTACAAACTGCCTTCATAACACACGTGGGGCAGAAATCTGAAACAAAACATTTACTGAATACTCGTTAAAATATAAACTCAGAGGTCACTAATGTTCAAGTCCTGTGTGCGGTTAGATATCAGATGTTTGTGTCTGCGACCTGATTGGCTGCATTGATCGTGTGTTGTTTGTTTTCTGTAAATGTCTCCTGGTCCAATCACGATCTTCTGAAAGAACGTTTGTGTGACAGCTGCTTATTGGTCCAGGCCGATCCGCTGATCGATGAGGCATCATCCGCCTCACTCCTTTGATCTCTCTGCACCGCCCGTCTCAGCCTTCAGCTTCACCTCAGAGTCTGCGCACCAGGCGAACTCTGCAGGAGCGATAATGAGGCGTCCAGCGATGTGACATCGCCGGCGTGCGCTGTGGGCGGAGAACAGCGAGCATAATGACACAGAACGAAGAAAGACTGAAATCTACTTCAGGAAACTTTGCCCTCTTCATGACGCTGTCGTTAGAGTGTCATGTGACGAACCGACACACGTTTGTTTTTTCCTGGCTTCTTTTTTTGGTACTTTTAATTTATAGAAACGACTCCGCAGGCTGCAGCAAAAACATTTCCTTTGGTTTTAGGGGTGAAACGTCCCTTTAAGGTTGAACGCATATATATACAAACTCCTCTGTGTCTTCTGTCAGTTGTCTTCCTGTTTTATTTTGAAAGTCTGTTCCTCGTGGTGTTTTGAGTGAGTTCCGCCGTACCCGCCGGGAGTCTTTTTACTCCTCGTCCTTCCCCTCAGTCTCAGTTTGGTTTCTTTGTAGCCGAGGACGACTCTTGATTTTCATATTTCTCTCCTCCAACGTCTTCCGTTCATGTCACGAGTTTCACAAATGCAGGATCTGATTTGTAACTGGAGCTCCGCCTCCTTTGGTGTCTGATATTAGAGCCTCAGTTCATTATAAACATCTCTCCTCCAGGATCATCAGACAGGAAGTAGATCTGTTACACAGAGGTGATTATACAGTGGGGCAAAAAAGTATTTAGTCAGCCACTGATTGTGCAAGTTCCCCCACCGAAAATGATGACAGAGGTCAGTAATTTGCACCAGAGGTACACTTCAACTGTGAGAGACAGAATGTGAAAAAGAAATCCATGAATTCACATGGTAGGATTTGTAAAGAATTTATTCGTAAATCAGGGTGGAAAATAAGTATTTGGTCACCTCAAACAAGGAAAATCTCTGGCTCTCACAGACCTGTAACGTCTTCTGTAAGAAGCTTTTCTGTCCTCCACTCGTTACCTGTATGAATGGCACCTGTTTGAACTCATCATCTGTATAAAAGACACCTGTCCACAGCCTCAAACAGTCAGACTCCAAACTCCACCATGGCCAAGACCAAAGAGCTTTCGAAGGACACCAGGAAAAGTATTGTAGACCTGCACCAGACTGGGAAGAGTGAATCTACAATAGGCAAGCAGCTTGGTGTGAAAAAATCAACTGTGGGAGCAATCATCAGAAAATGGAAGACATACAAGACCACTGATAATCTCCCTCCATCTGGGGCTCCACGCAAGATCTCATCCCGTGGGGTCAAAATGATCATGAGAACGGTGAGCAAAGATCCCAGAACCACACGGGGGGACCTGGTGAATGACCTGCAGAGAGCTGGGACCAAAGTAACAAAGGTCACCATCAGTAACACACTACAACGGCAGGGAATCAAATCCCGCAGTGCCAGACGTGTTCCGCTGCTGAAGCCAGTGCATGTCCAGGCCCGTCTGAAGTTTGCCAGAGAGCACATGGATGATACAGCAGAGGATTGGGAGAATGTCATGTGGTCAGATGAAACCAAAGTAGAACTTTTTGGTATAAACTCAACTCGTCGTGTTTGGAGGAAGAAGAATACTGAGTTGCATCCCAAGAACACCATACCTACTGTGAAGCATGGGGGTGGAAACATCATGCTATGGGGCTGTTTTTCTGCCAAGGGGACAGGACGACTGATCCGTGTTAAGGACAGAATGAATGGGGCCATGTATCGTGAGATTTTGAGCCAAAACCTCCTTCCATCAGTGAGAACTTTGAAGATGAAACGAGGCTGGGTCTTCCAACGTGACAATGATCCAAAACACACCGCCCGGGCAACAAAGGAGTGGCTCCGTAAGAAGCATTTGAAAGTCCTGGAGTGGCCTAGCCAGTCTCCAGACCTCAACCCCATAGAAAATCTGTGGCGGGAGTTGAAAGTCCGTGTTGCTCGGCGACAGCCCCAAAACATCACTGCTCTCGAGAAGATCTGCATGGAGGAATGGGCCAAAATACCAGCTACTGTGTGTGCAAACCTGGTAAAGACCTATAGTAAACGTTTGACCTCTGTTATTGCCAACAAAGGTTATGTTACAAAGTATTGAGTTGTATTTTTGTTATTGACCAAATACTTATTTTCCACCCTGATTTACCAATAAATTCTTTACAAATCCTATCATGTGGATTCATGGATTTTTTTTTTTTTTCACATTCTGTCTCTCACAGTTGAAGTGTACCTCTGGTGCAAATTACTGACCTCTGTCATCATTTTAAGTGGGGGAACTTGCACAATCGGTGGCTGACTAAATACTTTTTGCCCCACTGTATGTAATGAGAAGGTTGTTTCTGCAGCATGTGTGCGGGCCGTGGAGGACGTGAACATGTTGGCGGACCTACAGTGCGTAGGCAGCTGTGCTGTTCGTTACACAACTGAGGACAAAGCTGTGGGCTGGATGAAGAACACATGAAGGCTTCATGTTTGTAGATGTTGCTCCAAAGTGAGGATCAGTCCTAACCAGCGCTGGGCCACATGGGCAGAAATGATATCTTCATATATTTAGTCTGAAAGACGTCTTTGTTTCCAGGATTTCAAAAGAAATCATTTTCACTCAGTTGGGAATATTCTGTGTCAGGTTTCATGTCCTCCTGTGACCTTCTGTGGTTCTGGTTATTCGATTTTATTTGATTTATATAAGCACAACAGAGGAAGCACCAAACTGTCTGAAAAGCTCTGCAAAGTGTCCTCATGCCCTCTGCTTCCTGTCCAGGCACCGTCCTGATGATGTCGCTGTGCGAGGTGGTGCACGTGTACGAGTTCCTGCCGTCCCGGAGGAAGACGGAGCTCTGCCATTACTACCAGCGTTTCTACGACGCCGCCTGCACGCTGGGCGCCTACCACCCGCTGCTGTACGAGAAGAACCTGGTTAAGCGCATGAACCAGGGCTCCGACCGCGACATCTACACCAACGGACGCGTCACGCTGCCCGGCTTCAGGAAGCTGAACTGCAGCCAGACTGCTGGAGGAGACCGCTGACTGCATCAACGCACAAATCTGAGTCCTGCATGAAGATGAGCCGACGCATGCAAACCTCATCCTCACTACCGAACCACAAAGAGCGCTCTATAAATATTTCATGCTGTTAACACACACACTGGAGTCCGACCAGCTCATACATGTGCTGCTGTACACACATCCCTGTGAGGTCATTGACGTGTGATCACTGGATGCTTCTTAGTTGCCCAAATTTTGATGCTCATGTTGACCTTAGAGGATAATTCTGGTGGTTTTCAAGGAATCTCAGTGATTGCCTTTAACTCAGGGGTGGGGAACTCCAGGCCTCAGGGGCCGGCGTCCTGCGGGTTTTAGATCTCACCCTGGGCCAACACACCTGAATCACATGATTAGTTCATTGATAGGCCTCTGGAGAACTTCAAGACATGATGAGGTCATTTAACCACTTAGATCAGCTGTGTTGGATCAAGAACACATAACCTGCAGGACACCGGCCCTCGAGGCCTGGAGTTTCCCACCACTGCTATAACTGCGAGGTGGAGAGCGTATGAGTGAGTGACAGACCACCAAAAATGTCCTCTGATCAAAAAGTGCATATTAATATTTTCCAGGACAGATTCCCTGACATCCAGCCTGTTTTGAGGGGTCCAAAATCATTTCTTCCTGAAGTTAAAAAGCAGATAAAATCCAAAATTTAGCAAACTGGGTCATAAATATCAGTCGTGCGCAGGTCCAGCGACACCGTCTCTGCTTGTGTGTTTGTGTTCTGGTTTCTTGTTCAGGCAGCAGGAGGCCGCTGTGCCTCTGTGTGATTACATACATGATGCTTACACACCTCACTGAACCCGTTTATTGAAGAAGATACTGCCTGCAGATGCGTTTACTTCTAACTTAACCCAAAAGGTCACTTCGTAGGTTTTTTTACACACTTTGTGAGTCCTGCCATTTCCAGTAATCTTTTTGTAATCCTCACGTAGTGTAAATATTATGAGAGTATTATAGGAGGAGGGTCTTTACTGTGATATCAGCATTTGATTTTTCTCCAACGTAAAAGCCCCACTCGGTTTATATGGACATGCTAACTGATATTTTATTTGCAGTATTTGTTTCTTCAGTCCGTGACACACTGAGCTCGTGGCAAAAACATGACACAAAATCCAAACTTATACAGGGTGGGCCGTTTCTATGGATACAGCGTAATAACATGGGAATGGTTGGTGATATTAAAGTCCTGTTTGTGGCACATTAGTATATGTGAGGGGGCAAACTCCTCAAGATGGACGGTGGCCATTTAGAAGTCGGCCATCTTGGATACAACTTTTGTTTTTTCAATAGGAAGAGGGCCATGTGACACATCACACTTATTGGTAATGTCACAAGAACAACAATGGTGTGCTTGGTTTCAACGTAACTTTATTCTTTCATGAGTTATTTACAAGTTTCTGACCACTTATAAAATGTGTTCAATGTGCTGCCCATTGTGTTGGATTGTCAATGCAACCCTCTTCTCCCAGTCTTCACACACTGATAGCAACACCAAAAGTTGTATCCAAGATGGCCGACTTCTAAATGGCCACCATGGTCACCGCCCATCTTGAGGAGTTTGCCCCCTCACATATACTAATGTGCCACAAACAGGACTTTAATATCACCAACCATTCCCATGTTATTACGCTGTATCCATATCCCTGTAGTTTAACAGTGTCTGTAACGTGTTGGGGAAAAAATGCACTGTGAACAAAATGAAGTGGACATGTAGCCACGATGAGCTGGTCCTGATGCTTCTAAACAAGAAAGGGAAACTTCTCAGAAGAAGACAACAGCAGGGGGGATGTGATGGCCTGATCCAGGACTTTATCACGACCGTGGATATTTCAGGATGTTTGAGCTCTTGTTGGCAGAGTGTGGACCTCATCTCAGGGTGCAGAGAAATCATTTAACAGAGCTGATGGTCCCAGAGCAGCATGTAGCTGTGCGTCTGATGTACAACAGTTTTATTTTACTATTTGTGTATTCAGTAACAGTGCACGCTTTGAGCTACAAACGCTTGATGCAGAAGCAGAGTTCTGATTGGTCTGATCAGCTGATTTGAATCGTAAAAATTGAGCATGGCTCGAAAAAATTAATCCACTGAAATCATTGGCTCTGTGTTTTCGAAGAGCAGGTGAGTCTGGCAGTTTCCACCAAAACAGTTAGTTAGTGTGGCTGAGCCTAAACGTACACCGCTGCTTACACTGGTGTAAAACTGTGTTTCACATAAAGTACACGTATTGTTGCTGTTTGCAGACAAACACCCTCCAATTAAACAACCAGCAAACTGGCAACAAACTGAAAAACTGACATTTATGTCTTCCATAAAAAACGGTTCTTGCTGATGGTACTACCGCAAATCAGAATTGATTCAGAATTATGTGAGGCTTTAGGTTTTTTAGCTAATCTTGAAAATATAAAGTGCAGGTATAGCTAAGGTAGAAGATTACAAATATTACTTTCATATAGTTTACACACAAGCAGTTTCTACCTTATTAACAAGCAGCTAACACTACTAGCATAAAAGACAAGGGGTTGGTAGCGCTGTGTCTTTCTAGAATTATCAAAAATGTTTATTAGTTTATATATAAGGTGAGCATTCTCACTTCAGGACATTTAAGGGCATTTCATTTAATTTGCAGTTCAATATAACATTTTAAAAAGTCACTAAATGTCCAAAACGTCTTCGAGTCTTTAAGCTAATTTAAGCAATTTTAATGCAATATTGAGTATTTTATTTAACAAATTGCATTATAAGAGTTTTATGATCCATATAATGCTCCTTGTGTCATTTGCACTAATTATTGCCTGCTGGTTTGTATTTATGCTGGATTTTGTGCAGAAAATGTTTGGCTTAAATGATTTTAACTTAAGTATGTAAACCGAGTTTTTCTCACTAGCTTTAAGGCTACTGGAGAGTCTGCTGAGTGGTCATTTAGCTTAGTTATCTTACCTATGAACTGATGGCAATTTCTTCTTTACTTTTCTTTACTGTAACATCTGTATGAATGCTCCATTCTCAGTGTTATCACAGTAAAGATCAGCCTCAGATTTTGACTTAATCTCTTAATACAGATGAATGTTTAAAACCAGTTTTCCCTAAACTAGTGTTGTAACAACGAGAAAATATCAACAAAATAAATCTCTGAAAAAATAGAGAAAATATCCGCATGGCACTAACGCAGCTCCTTATTTTCAATGCTAACTACAGTTCACTGTACAACGTGTTATTCGCTAGCTTCATATTTTCGTTCTTTGATTCTCGCTACAGTAGCTATGCATGGTTCACAATCTTTATGCAGACCCCCTCCCCCCAACAGCCTACTCTTGTCTGATTGGTCAGGTGGGGTGCAGGTATTCAAACAAATAAATATATATCACATAAAATACAGAAAAGCTAATAGATCCCCTTGAAATATACGACTAGCTGGGCTAGTTAGCATTTATCAGGATGAGGTTAACCGATGGTGATTTTTCCTCTGTTATAATCAGATGTAGCTCAAATTTTATGTAGTATTTCATATACTACGATGTTATATTGTATATGTGAATACATGAAACATGCAAAAGTGGGGAAATCAGCTGTAGCAAACTTAATCGCACCAGCTAGCTTTAATTAGCCACGATGCAGACACATTTTTAGATGCTGTTATTTTATTTTTCACATAAAACACACTTCTCTGCTGTAACAAGTACAAGTTTAGTAACGTGTAATAAGTGCTTTTTAACTATGATACATGCTAACACAGCTAATTTAATCCTGAAGCAGAACGACTCGGAGCTCGAGCAAAGTCGTCAAGAACAAAAATGACTCTGCTGTTGTGTTCTGGTCACTTCCGTTTCATGCTTACCAAGACTTCATTGTTTAGTCATGAGTCACACACTTGAATAATTGATGTCATTGCATTTCAGAGCAAAGCTATGAGAACATTTCCTCCCTATGCAGTCTTGTCTCTGTGTACATTCATGTGAAGCCTTTTGATATTCTGTTATTTCAGCTTACAGATGCACTTTTTCCTCTGCTTTGCCTTCATCCTCTTCTGTTTCTGGGAGGATTGGTTAAATGTTGTGAACTTAGATTTAATTTCTTTATTTTTTTCTTTGCCGTCTTGTAACTTAATATCAGACTAAAAATGTGCAGAGTTCTAGAAGCATGCAGCTGATCTGTCTTTGAGATGATTTGATTTGTTTGATCCTTTTCTGTGATATTTTCTAATGCTCAGCTCTACCTTCTGTTCCTGTTTGAAATATTTTTTTTTAATTAATTGTAAAAAAATAAATATGATAAACTGTAAATTCCAAATGTATTTATTAATTGTTCCTAAAAGATGCACAAGTCTAATTGTTGGCTGACATTTTGTCGACTTGTGAGTGAAATCTGGCTTTGACTCCAGTTCCACAGAGATTTGTACTCGAGCTGCTTTCCACAGTCCAAAGAAGTGCAGGTGAGTGTGATGGGTCAACTGTCTCTCTGTTAGCTCTGCATGTTCAGGTTTACCCCACCTTGAGAGCACATTCTCACTGATAGAGTTCAGTACGTAATCTACGTTCAGTATAATAATTAATAAGTGCAGTTATTTTCATATCAAAGAAAAAAGTGAACATGTAGATGTTGGGTGCCAGCTCACAAAAGTATATCAAATTTAACCTCGGGTCAGTGGCCCCAGGGCAGCTGTGGCTACAATGTAGCTGCCATCACCAGTGTGTGTGAATGTGTGAATGACTGAATGTAGTGTAAAGTGCTTTGGGGTCCATAGGGACTTAAAGTAAAGCGCTATACAAATGCAGGCCATTCACCATTTTAACACTTACAGCGGCCTTTTTTTATGTTTGTTTTGCTTTGGTTAATTATAATGTTATAACAACACCGATGTGCTTCAAGTCTTTCAATGTAATACCCCCTCTAGCCACAGTGTGTCGCTGTCTGGTGGCAAATGTGGTTTGTTTATGAAGTGCAATGAATCCAAATGATCAAACAGTGACAGTGTTGCATATGGTCTGGTGTTGTGGTTAATCTCAGTATTGCAGTAGTATGTCATTTTAATGCCTTAGAAATTCAGTAAGAATTTACTTTTCTAATATAAGCCTCTTTCATAAAAGATAATTGTTTTACTGACAAATGAACAGGAGCAGCATGTCAGACAGGAGTTGGGCTTTTTTTAAAAGTTCAATTGGGTTTTAATGAAAAGAACCAGTTATGAAAAAGCAGAAAATATATGATTCTGTTTTTCTAACACTTTCCCAGCTTAGAGTGGATACCTGAAACTATCACATAGGATTCAGGTACACACAGGGTGACACAGACACACCAATTAAATTTAACATGCATGGAAGAAGCCGGAGCAAAACACATTTTGAACTAGGGCTCTTGTATGGGCAGAACTTTGTGCCATCCGAAACTGAATTTGAATAAGTTAAATTTGAATTTGAATTGCTCAGATTGAATCTGAATTGTAACTTGAATAAATGCTTTTTAAAACTGAATTTGAATTAGCCTAATTTGAAATTCAATGTATCGGTTTGTAAATGTTCGTCACTAAATTGAAATTGAATTTTATATTTTGAAAATGAATTCATTTGCTTTGAAACTGTATTTTATCCTTTAAAAATGTAGCTCTCAAATAATTTGTTTCACTTTTCACCATTCAGTTTCAGTCTACTCTGCGCGCCTTAGCATATGTTACCCCGGTGGAGTCAACCAAATGGATGAATCAAGCGGCGATTTACATTTCTCAAGATGTCTTAGGCATTTACCGAATATACAGTGGGATGCAAAAGTTTGGGCAACCTTGTTAATAGTCATAATTTTCCTGTATAAATCGTTGGTTGTGACAATAAAAAATGTCAGTTAAATATATCATGTAGGAGACACACAGTGATGTTTGAGGAGTGAAATGAAGTTTATTGGATTCACAGAAAGTGAAATAATTGTTTAAACAAAATCAGGCAGGTGCATAAATTTGGGCTCCACAAAAAAAGAAATGAAATCAATATTTAGCAGATCCAACTTTTGCAGAAATTCCAGCCTCTAAACGCTTCCAGTAGGTTCCAATGGGAACCTACTGGTTGAAGGTATTTTGGACCATTCCTCTTTACAAAACATCTCTAGGTCATTCAGGTTTGATGGCTTCCGAGCACGGACAGCTCTCTCACACCACAGATCTTCAGTAATATTCAGGTCTGGACTGAGATGAATGTTGCAGAACGTTGTACTTGTTCCTCTGCATGAAAGCCTTAGTGGATTTTGAGCAGTGTTTCGGGTTGTTGTCTTGTTGAAAGATCCAGCCCTGACGCAGCTTCCGCTTTGTCACTGATTCCTGGACATTGGTCTCCAGAATCTGCAGATACTGAGTGGAATCCATGTGTCCCTCAACTTTGATAAGATTCCCAGTCCCTGCACTGGCCACACAGCCCACAGCATGATGGAACCACCACCACATTTTACTGTAGGTAGCAGGTGTGTTTCTTGGAATGCTGTGTTCTTTTTCCTCCATGCACAGTAACACACGCCGTTCACACAAGCAGTATATTTCTTTGGTTTTGATGTTAGCGTACTGTCTCTGTCCTGCTGAGAATCTGTATTTCTCATGCAGACCAGGAAATCCCAATCGATCACGTCAGCCTCTGAATGTTCTCTCCATCCAATATTTCCAAAGAAACACTAGAAGCTTCCACAAGATTTTAAGCCAAAGCTCAGAACATAATCAGCTCATGACCAGTTATGTGTTCAGCAGACATTACCGTAGTAATTTAGCCAGTTTCAGCTCGGCGTAGCTCGCTAAACCACTAATCTCACTTCATAGGTCACCCCTCAGGTGTCACTTTACCTGTGATAGTAACTCCCAGCATGTGTAGGTTTGATCTCTGCTCCATGTATGAAACACACATAAAGAAATCCACAGCGTGAGTTCAAAGATGCTTTTATTTTGAAAGTAAAGAATTGAAAGAAATGAACCCGAGTAAGTTTACAGTCAGTTATCTGTCTGCATTTGGATTAACTAAATCAGCTGTTTACATTTTTATCATGATAGTCAGATTAGGTTTAACATCTGTTAAGAGTTTAAGAAAAACACCTGCATGATTATCAAAGAAGAGAAAAAGAGGAACTGTTGGATTTTGCTCAACTTAACAGGAAAGACTCCAGTTAAAAGCAAACATGTGGGCCAGCAGTCACCAAAATAACAGACTGACCAACACAGGACAGTGGAGCCAATAAAAAACGATGCCGTTTACCAACTTATAGAAAATAGTCAGGACCTAATGGAGGAGCAGCACTTTGTGAAGAGCTGACTCAAAGAAAGGACAAAGAGAAGAGAATCACTGAGCATTTAACTGGATGTATTTGAATCAAAGATAACAAGAAGAAGTAAATTATCTGAGTCAGTAGAAACAAATAAACACAAAACTAGAACCCAACCAGAAAGAGAGAGAGAGAGAGCAAGAAACTGATTCCAGCAGGTGATTTACTTCCTGTTTTACTTCTAAAAATGGCTAAGCTCCGCCCACACAGGACAGGCCAAACAGGAAGTGTTGGAGCTGTCACACCTCTCACATGGTGAAGATCAGATGACCACTGAACGTGTTATGATGACTTTGACTGTCAAATATCCTTGCACTAGCCAATAGACGTACAAACACCTGATCTCCAACCTCTAGAAGCAGTGAGACTCCATTAGAGGCGCTCACTGTACCAGATGTTGGATTTTCATATGTAATAGAAATTTGCTCCCCATTCCTCAACAAGAAAGCACCTGCAACAATGTTTCCATGACCAACTATGGTCAAGTCAAAGTGGTAGGCTCCTCTCACTGGTGCAGTGAAAATACCTGTGGGACATTTGTTTTTGTTAAATGGAAAATCAGCTGTTAGAACATCTGGAACATGAGCCTGACATCAACATAGCTGAGAAGTGACATTCAGTGTTATTACCTGTGTTTTTGTTGTAGGCATTTCCAATGTTCGTGATAACATGTTTGAAGATCAGAGTAGTGTGGTCATCAAAGGGTCCAGTATCTCCTTCACCTTGATCCAGCAGAGAGGCTGAGAAAGCCACCTGTTTGACTGAGAGAGAGAGAAAATTCATTTTACACTTCCTGTTTTAGAGTTATAAATGGTAAATGGCCTGTATTTATATAGCGCCTTACTAGTCCCTAAGGACCACAAAGCGCTTTACATATCCAGTCATCCACCCATTCACACACACAATCACACACTGATGATGGCAAGCTACATTGTAGCCACAGCCACCCTGGGGCGCACTGACAGAGGCGAGGCTGCCGAACACTGGCGCCACCGGGCCCTCTGACCACCACCAGTAGGCAACGGGTGAAGTGTCTTGCCCAAGGACACAACGGCCGAGACTGTCCAAGACGGGGCTCGAACCGGCAACCTTCCGATTACAAGGCGAACTCCCAACTCTTGAGCCACGATCGCCCGATAGACTCTTCCCATAAAAGTGACCATGACAAAAACTTTAATCTCCAATGAAAGAAATGTTTGACAGCTGAAAGCGTTTCACTGCCACAGAAGAAATCAAACTCTGGATAATCCACATACTGTGTCAGCAGGTGATTAGTTTGAAGCTTTGCCCTCAGATATCATGTGGAAGAAATAAAAAATATTGTTGGTACTAAAGATTTTCAAACACAGTAGCACCACCTTGTGAACAGATTTATAGCACTGATATATGTTGATCCTCCAGAGTTTGTTGGCTTCTGTCTGAAGGTGGCGCTACAGCACAAATACAGCTTCAGATGTTCACAGAAATTGATTTGAGCAGCAGAGATGGATTACATCCTGCAAGCACGCTGTGTTACTGCGTTACTAAAACCGTGACTTTTTGCGAGAATGTCTCATGGCAGTGACGTAAGCGAGTGCGACGTTCGTGACAACAGCTGTCTGCAGATCAACAATGGATCACATATCGAGTGCGGGAGAGAGTATGAGCATGCAGCGTTTAAAGCGTGGAAGTACTGACCTTACTTTAAGTTTGATTCCATAAAAAGTGACAAAAACATTAGTGTCCATCGTGCGTGGGAAGAAAACTTCTTTTTACAGCGAAAAAATCCCCTAAACTTCCGAGCAAGCACCTATTTGAAAGACTGAGTGTAAACACACAAAACGTTTTATTTTATGTGCTGGAATGTGCAGAAAATATGTTTAAATGGTAAACAGATTTCTTCCAGTCAGAGAATGTTGCATATACTTTAACGTTTGCTTGATGCATAAAGTTAAAAGATTAAAACTAATAAAACAAGTTTTAAAAAGATCTATCGCTTTATCACCTATTCAGGTTGTAAATCGTGTTTTTAAAAAGTAACTAAGTAATTAATTACTCTTGAAAATAAGTAATCAGTAAAGTAACGGGATTACTTTTGGGGGAAGTAATCAGTAATTAGTTACTGATTACTTTTTTCAAGTAACTTGACCAACACTGTTGAGCAGCGTTGTGTCTTTAACTGTAACACATTCCAGTCACCTTGTGATGTTGAGCTGATCAGAGCAGGTTTTAGTTTCAGTGTCTAACATTACAACATTCAAACATAAATACTAATCTGGTCAATTTAATATCAGATTTAAGATATAACATTAATTCTAAAATGTAAGAATGTATCAATTATAGAAATCTTGCAACATTTCTCTTTCAGATTCCCACACAGTACCTTGTAACTGCTGCTTCAGCTGGTCGATCTCAGTCTTCTGACTCTCCACCTTTGTTGCTAGTTCTGATAAAATATAATAGAAATAAAAAGAAAAATCTTACTGACAGCACACAGTTATTCACAGGTTTTTATTTGTAAGTAAGAAAGTAACTAAGTAAGAAAGTTGTGGTGATCCTTGGGTGGAGAATGGTTGAAGAAGCAGACTTGTTTGACTGGATCTCTGAACAAACTGATTCTCAACTCTGTGCTGTTAAACTCTGTCATCTTTATCCACACTAGGAGAGTTTCTAGGTTCTACCTTGCAAGGGATCAATAACAATTTAAAATTTATAATTTACAGTTTTTTTACACACAACCTGTCAAAAGGGGAGGGGCCGGCTGCTTCCATAGAGCACATTTCATTCATAACGTTGTAAATCGAATCTGTGAACTAAGGTGTAGGTCTGTTAGGTTTTGTTGTGGTGATCCTCGGGTTGGGGGATGGGTGTTCATACTGGAGTGCAAAATGAAAACCAGTGGAAGATGGACAAGAAAAGGTCAAAGCCGTCAGGTGCTCAGTTTAGAAAAAAGAGAAAAGAGGAGGAGAAACGAGCAAAAGACACAGTGAAGCAGATGTGTCATTGGATAATGGCAGGCAGTGATGGGAATAACGGCGTTACTTTTTTCAGTAACGAGTAATCTAATTACTATTCCTATCGTTACAACGCTGTTACCGTTACTAAGAAGAAAATGCTGTCTGTTACTATTTTTCAACAAACAGACGGTTGAAGCTGTGTTCAGCTTACAGCATCTTATATCAGTTGCACGGAAGTAGCTGTAAGTAATCTGGACGCTACGGCTTTAAGCAGCTGCGCTCCCGCGGTAATCATGATCACTGTCTGGCACAACACCTGGATCTCAGGGGGCAAAACAATCACATGAGTGCTGCTGTTTGACTGAGGAAGAATAAAGTAGTCGTGGTAAGACAATCACATGACCACTTAAAGACAAAGCAACAAGGTGACATATACCAGTTTATAAACTGTGTGGCCACGTAAAACCAGAGTCATGATAAACAAGATATACGCAGCATTTTTTCCTCAATAGTTTCATGTTTACTGTCTAAGGACAGCGCAGCGAGCACGCTCTGCTTATGAGCAAGAAATAAAAAAACAAAACATAAAACAGCCCGTTTGTGTTGGTGGAAAAATGCACCATGTCGACCAATCAAAAAATGATTTGGCAACATGACGTTTGGTTGTTTAGGAAGAGGCGGAAGATTTAGGAGAATCAGAATCAGAATCAGAATGGGTTTATTGCCAGATGTTGAGGTTTACAACATTAGGAAATTGCTGCGGTGCTTCAGTGCAAACAATAAGAATTAAAGTGCTATGTAGAAAGAAAGATATGTGCATGAGATATACATGAGATATATACATGAGAATAAGAATTATGAGTGCTACGTAGAAAGATATATACATGAGTGCAGGTGGTGATCAGTGCCAGACATGAAATGATGCAGTGACACAGCGTAGGGTCATGTGTTAGTGGCGGGGACAGTCATGTGGTTATTGTTCATGTGTCCAACAGCAGAGGGGAAGAAACTGTTCTTATGGCGAGAGGTTCTGGTGCGAATGGACCGGAGCCTCCTGCCTGAGGGGAGCAGGTCAAACAGACTGTGTCCAGGGTGAGAAGGGTCAGCTGAGATGACGGCGAGAGAGAGCGAGAGAGAGAAAAAGAGAGAGAGCGAGTTTTGAGATGTGAGAGATTTGTGACGTTTAGCATGTTTGCAGTGTGTAGTTAGTGTGTAGTGTTGTGTAGTTAGTGTGTAGTGTTGTGGATAGTTTTGTGTTGTGTGTCAGAACAATGATGTGACTGCTGTCTCCAGGTAGAAACAGGAGTGACACACCTGCTGCTGTCAGACCTGCAGGTATCAGGCTGTGATGTTCTGCTTTATAGTGGACAGAAATGTTTGGAGTGGCACAAATAATTTGTGGCATCTTATTGAAGAACAGCTGATTGTTCTGTAAATGGTTATTTAAAAAATCAAGGTAAAAGATAAATGATACAAATAACTTTGCTGTTTGCAAAACTTGTGCATATGATTTTAAAATTGACAATTTATATTTGCATTTAAAGTTATGAAATATGATCATTAAACATGTTTGTGGTTGTTACAGTAAAAATATAACTTTTTCTACTCGGATTTTGTGTTTTTTGTCTGATTTTAGATCAATTGTGTTTATACAGTAGTCAAAATGAAAACATAACTGTAAATTCAGACACGTGAGGCTGTGCTGAAAAGAACGAGACCAAACAAGGCAAATAAATCTTTTTAAAGGTGAAATGTGGAGGGAAAATCAAAAGTAGTTAAAAATGGCCAATTATACCCTGGACCCCAGAGGGTTAAACGTTTTTTTTAAACACAATTAATTACTTTTAGAATCTTGTAACTCAGTTACTAACTCAGTTACTTTTTTGAAGAAGTAACTAGTAACTATAATTTATTACTTTTTCAAAGTAACTTGCCCAACACTGATGGCAGGTCATGTATTATGAAACACTCAGAATCAGAATACTTTATTAATGCCTAAGGAAATGATTTGGGTTACATATTCTCCAAGAAGAAATTCTAAAATAGTAACAGTAACAGACTAAACTCCAGACAATACATAATGTTAGCATAAAAGTAGCACTAATATATACAGATCACTCAATTATAAATATCAAGGATTAACAGACGTGATTATAAATAAATACCAAGAAAACTGACAAGGATATCACAGCGTAGAAAGAAGCACGTGTAAAACGGGAGTAACTATTGCAAAGACCCCACACACACCCGACATGTTCACTCTTCTGCCCTCGGAGGCTCAGAAGTATGAAATCCAGAACATCCCGACTCAACAACTCCTCCTTCACTGCTATCCGACTCTTGAACAGCTGAAATATTTTGAACAGTAATAGTAATTTTTGCACATCAGGTCATCTCACATATCAAACCAGCATATTAAGCTCATAGCTCTTTTGCACATAAATCTATTTAACGCATCAATTTTTTTTGGTCTCCACTTATTTATTCCTGCTATTTGTATTTTATCTGTTTGTACATATTAACCGGCATCTGTGTGTGGACAGCAGAGAAAAAATTTCATTGCGCAAAGAAATGATTTGCTTTGTACACATGACAATAAACACTTTCAATCCTTAAATCTTTGAATCAGTTAGTGAGCTTCCACTTCCAGGGGGCGCTACATCACAAACACGGACTTTAAATGATGATTAGAACGTTTGCATCAACACAGAAACTGGTGTTTAAGTAAATGTTGAAGTATTTGGTTTGAAGAGTTTGCCATGAAGAGGAGCCGTGAGCTGTTTCATTATAAACACATTCCAGTCAGTTCCTGATGCTGAGATGAAAAGAGATGTTTTTGGTTCTGTTATAAAATCTTAAGATGTTTTAAAGTTTTATACTTTTACAATCAAACATGTAAAAAAAACATTTTAATATCACACATCATTCAGAGGATATATTTACAGCTCCATGATGGTTTCACTACAATCTCTTTGGACTGCAGCTTCAGCTGATCAGTCTCAGTTTTCTGTCTCTTTAAGCTTCTTTACCGGCTCTTTAAAGCATTTTGTTTCATTGCATCATTAATCTCTGAAGACTGCTCCAATATTCCTGTGATAAAAATATTCTGTTTCATAAGAAAACACATAACCATGAATGTTGGTCATTCCTGTTTCTGACCTTCTGGATATTTCTGAAGTCACATTGATGTATGAAACTGTACCTTGATTCTCTCTCTGTAGGACAGTGATCCGCTCATTCTGCACAGCCAATGAGGCGGTAAGCTCTCTCAGCACAGCATGGATGTCCTGAGGACAGGGTTGTTGGCCTGCAGTCTCAGTCTCATCTGCTGAAAAAGAGCAGACCAGAAGCAAAAGTGGGAGAAACATGATGATCTTCATTCTGTCAACAGAAACCTGCTGTATAACTGTCATCTGTTAATCTGAGAGTTTTATAACGAGGGGAAAAGAGGCGTGAATGAGGAGGTTTCTGCCCCACATGTCCCCTCATCCTCCACCTCACACACTGCAGAGCTGCAGGACCAGAATCAGACTTTGACTGCAGGACTGAACATGTAAACAGAGCAGGGATGTAGAGATGTTCTCCTTTGAACTCTCTGCAGTTAACTGTGTACACAGAGTTCATGCATATATACATGCGGAGCTGGGACTTATCAGCTAACACCAGCGTTAGCGTCCATGACCCACTCTGATGTTTAACAGCATTCTGAGTTTCCTGGTGCAAAAACCAGGCTTAAAAATATTTACTGGAAGGCTGAAAGGTTGATGCCGTAGATCTTTTAGAAGAACTCACTGACTCAAGGCCTTTTCACACAGGAAGCATAAATTTATTTTAAAACAGTCATAAAAAGATGGAACTATTTTTGAATGCTGGTTTGATCGTGTCAGCTCCACAAACAGAGCAAACGTTTGTTTGTCGAGCTTGTTGAAAGAACCAAAGTACAATTAAACAATACGAAGAACTGCAACACACTGACCTCAGCACCTCTGTGGTTACAGGAAATCAGCTGCATGACTTTCTGACACAAACACACACAGAGAGGGGGGGGGTTTGTGACTCGCAGCTTCACTGTTGCAGCTATTTAAGAATATCTGGAAAGCTCAGTTACTAATGACATCTCCTGATCCTTTGGCCTTCACTATGACTCAAATGTTATTCTCTGTCACAAACACAAATCACTCAATAAAAAAAATCAGAAAAACTGAAATCTTTTTTTTATGTTGGCTTGAACATTTTAGCTGTGAATTCATAAAGAGAGCAAACATTTGTTTGTCAAGCTCATTAATGTGATAAAAGTCGAGTTTGAAAACACTTCAAGAATAAAAGCCAGAGTACGAGCTAACTTCCTCCCCTCACCCCCAACCAGTTAGAATCAGAATCAGAATGGGGTTTATTGCCAAATGTTGAGCAGGTTTACAACATTAGGAAATTGCTGCGGTGCTTCAGTGCAAACATACTGTCATAAATTACGTTTAAATAGACATGAAAATAAAAATGAGAATAAGAATTAAAAGTGCTAAGTAGATAGATATATACATGATATATACATGAGTGCAGGTGGTGATCAGTGCCAAACATGGAATGATGCAGTGAACACAGCGTAGGTGTTAGTGGTGGAACAGTCATACGGTTATTGTTCATGTGTCCGACAGCAGAGGGGAAGAAACTGTTCTTATGGCGAGAGGTTCTGGTGCGAATGGACTGGAGCCTCCTGCCTGAGGGGAGCAGGTCAAACAGACTGTGTCCAGGGTGAGAAGGGTCAGCTGAGATCCGAGCTGCACGCCGCAATGTCCTGGAGGTGTACAGGTCCTGCAGAGATGGGAGTCTGCAGCCAATCACCTTCTCAGCAGAGCGCACAACACGCTGCAGTCTCTGTTTGTCCCTGATAGTGGCTCCAGCGTACCACACGGTGATGGAGGAGGTGAGGATGGACTCGATGATTGCGGTGTAGAACTGCATCATCGTCCGTGTTGGCAGGTTGAATTTCTTCAGCTGCCTCAGGAAGTACATCCTCTGCTGGGCTTTCTTGATGACGGAGGTGATGGTGGGCTCCCACTTCAGGTCCTGGGTGATGGTGGTACCCAGGAAGCGGAATGAGTCCACAGAGGTGATGGGGGTGTCAGTCAGGATGATGGGGGGGAGTGGGGCTGTGTGCTTCCTGAAGTCCACAATAATCTCCACTGTCTTCTGGGCATTCAGCACCAGGTTGTTGTGGCTGCACCAGGACACCAGACGTTCAACCTCCCTCCTGTAGGCAGACTCGTCCCCGTCCGCGATGAGTCCAATAACGGTGGTGTCACCTGCAAACTTGATTAGCTTGACAGACTGGTGGGTGGAGGTGCAGCAGTTGGTGTACAGGGAGAAGAGCAGAGGAGAAAGAACACAGCCCTGAGGGGAGCCGGTGCTGATGGTCCGGGAGTCCGAGACATTCAGATACTGCAGATAGATGCTCCTCACCAGTGTTGGGTAAGTTACTTTAAAAAAGTAATTAATTACTAATTACTTAATCAATATTGTATTTAAAATACTTATCTAATTACTGTGTCAGAAAAGTAACTTAATTACTAAATAAGTAATTTAACTAAATACTTAAAATCCCAATAAAACCTTGAGTGGGCAAACAATAGAAATTAAACTCTTTAAATAATAAATCTTTTTTTTTAAAGACAGGGACTCTACAGCAGCGGTAGCATCTCTTCCACAGTGTCGCCTGCAGTTATTTTTAAGCTCACCTTTTTAAGCACCTTCTGTGCTGCTGAAGTAAAATCAGGTTTTGCTGCTCAGCAGGAGTTGCCGCTGTGTTATCCATGGATGATGGACAAGGATCACTCAGAAGTGTTCGTCTGTGCTCTGTGTCAGGCGCTTCAGCAGATTACTCCTGCTATTAACAGCCGCTGATAGTTTTTACATATTACTGTAATGTTCTTGTCTGCTTGTTTCAGAAAAGTGAAGAGACGGGAATATGTCCATTTCATAAAACTCGCTTCAGCGAGTCCAGCAGCTTCTGCTTTAGAATACGACTGTGCAGCAAACTGGCGCGAAATGACGAGCAGCTGCACTACAGCGATGTTAAAGCGGCAGAGTTTACCTCTACGTTTAGAAGACAAATTATTGAAATTTAATAATGATATGCACATTGTAAGTCACTGTAATTAAAATACCTAAAAATGAACAGTAATCAGTTACTTTACTTTTTCAGTGGAAAAGTAATTTAATTACAGTAACGCGTTACACCCAACACTGCTCCTCACAGAGGTCTCTTATTATTAGAAGGAGTTTTTCCTTTGTCATATGACCTGGGATAGAAAGAGATTAATGACATTATCTGTTACAATGAATGTTCATGTGAAAATGTGCAAAAACAAATCTAACTGAAGTAGAATTATATAAAACTGAATGAAACATGAAGTTAATTATTTCCATATGTGATGTGAAAGTGATTTTTTTTATGTTAGAATAACAAAGATAACGTGATAAAGATTTTAAAGTTTAAACTTTGTATTAAATCGAGTAAAGCAGACAGAGAAAGATAAGCGTGGGTGGACATCAGATGATGTGATGTCCAGTAGGATGGGGGAGGAAAGGGTGAGCAGGTATAAAAGTGAGGTGAAGAGGAGATGGAAAGAGTCCAGCCTGTGAACTGGTTTTGTCATTTTGGCTTTTTGCCTGTTGCCGTGTTAGATGGTTCATTCAGAAGGATTTTGACTGACATCATACGTCCACTGGATGCTGCTGTCTTGTTGGGTGATGATCATCAACACAGGACTCGGGGATAACAGCATCTTTACACCTGGCTGTGCTCATCCTTCCTCCAACCTCTCCTCACCAAAGATAAGAGCAAACTCAGCTCACAGTAGGTTAGTTAGAAAGTAGAGTTCAGGTGATTTGATTATTGTTCTTTGATTTTTACTATTTAATTTTGCTTTGCTCTGCTAAATTGCTTTAAACAAATTTCCTGCAATTCCTGCAAAGTCTTTATTTATTCATCTTTATTAGTGCAAATAGCTCTCACAGCTTACCCTATCCGCAGTAATAAAATAATGTTTAATTGGAGCCTGCTGTCCAGGCTACTAAAACCATCCCAGAAATAACAAATGCCACAGTCAACAGGAAAGCTACTGTTAACATGTTGGACTGATAGGATTCGACCTGCAGGGTTACTCAGGTTTCTTCTTATCGGGGTTTGCAGGGAAGACACCTGGATGATTTCAAAGCACTGGACTGGGCGAGTCCAGAAATCTACATTATCTACTGCGTAAAACTCATAGAACAAAGTCAACTTCCTGTACAGGAGTTTCTGTCGCCCTTGATAGAGCTCAACGCCTTCCCACAGAGACCAAGTGTTTGCTTATTGGGTGGTTATATGTAGGACTGGGCGATATATCGAGTTTTTAAATATATCGATATATTTTTATATGAGATATGACAATATTGTTTATATCGATATAGTCTATGTTACATCATAATTTTACTTGTGGAGACGCTAGTTTGCCTCTCTCTTGTCCACTTTTGTCTTTTGTCAAAAAATGTTTTAGTACGACTTTGGTCAGCTACGAAGCCGCACCGCTTGATGGATTCTTGGAGCATTACGGCTACCGCAGTCTGGAGCCTCACGGAGTGATACGTACTGTGCTTCAACGTAATATTACCGTATTGTGTGTGTATAAGGACCATAAATGGCACCTGTAAGAGTCGTGGTTACGAAGAGGATTTCAAACTCCAGGCTGTCAGTCACGCAGTACAAGTTGGGAACAGAGCAGCTGTGAAACCTTTGTTATTATGCTCAGCGTCTGTTAGCTTACAGTTTGACTGCACAGTTGTGAGCTCTTTGTTATGCACAAAAACAACATTGTTTTCTTTTATTTACGGATCATTATTATTTAATAAATGCTGATAATTTATTTTTGAGTAATTTTTCATGTACATCTGCGCTGTATGTTAATAAAAGTGCCTGTGTGACATCTGGGACACAGTGTGACTAAACTCTCTGTTTGTTCTTATTTTATGGCTTTAAAAAAATATCGAGATATATATCGTATATCGCCATCCAGCTAAAGAATATCGAGATATGAATTTTGGGTCATATCAACCAGTCCTAGTTATATGTTTGTTAAGGGTTTCTCTGTATTGTTGTAGGATCTTTACCTTACAGTATAAAGCACATTGAGACCCCTTAATTAAGCACAAGTTTGTTTGAAGTCTTGAACAAATGAAACAGGAATCCAGAAAAGGGGACAGAAGGTGACACCGAGGAGGGCGGGACCGACAGGAAGTAAAGACAAGACTCATTAATAAACAAAGTAAAGCAGGAAGTAACCAACAAACAACGAAGTAAAACCTGAGGAAATGAAAACATGTAACTAAGAAGATAATGAGGGAAGAGATAAGGGAGGGGAAATAAACTGAAAACATAATGTGGAGGAAATAAAACCAACAGAATGCCAAGACTATCATATTTCAGAGTTTATGAAACAACGTAATTCGCCATTAAAAGCGATTAATATAAATGAGTCATGAT